TTTACGACCACGACCACCAACCATGATTGATTGATGAAATCTAACCCAAGAAGATGCTAATGCTCTGATACCAACTGACGCTTAGCGTTGTCCCGAGCCGAAAAAAAAAACTAGAGCTTTTTTTGGCCCGAGCCGAGCCCGACCAAAAAAAATGAGGCTCGGCCCGAGATTTTGACCCGAGCCTTAACGGGCTAAGCCGGCTCGAATTTTTTGGTTTTTTTTTTTTAAGCTGCTGCCTGCCTGTTGCAGGCAGCTTGCAACCTACCTGCAACAGGCAGGTTGCAAGCAAGCAAGCTGCCTGCAGCAGCTTACAGCAAGCTGCTTGCTGCCTGCAACAGTGCAGGCAGCTTGCTGCTGTGCAAGCTGCCTGCAGTTTGCACAAGCTTGTTGCATGCCTTCAATTTTTTTTTAAATAGTAGGCTCGCCCGGGCCTTGGGCCAGTCCGGGCTCGAGCCGACTCCCCAAAGTAGGGCTCGGCCCGAGCGGGCCCGACTCGGACTTTTTTCGAGTCGAGCCCGAGCCGTCCGAGCCTTCGAACTTTTTTGCCACCGCTAGTTGTATCTCCTCATTTTTTCCTTCATATTTGTCTAGAAGATAATACCTCTTCCTGCTTTTGTCTTTTTCGCATGCATCTGATTGGAGGTCAATTTTATATTCCTTTATTGTATTCATTTTGGTCCATTTAAATCATGGTAAAAGAATCATAATACCTTCCATCTTTGGTGGAGTTTGAAAGACACACTGGGACTGTCGTGCTTTATTAAAATGAAAATAACACAAATTGTAGTGTTAATGTTTGTTTTTTCACGTTGAACATAATTTTTTTTTGGTTTCTTTAAATTGAAAAATGAAATTATTAACCTGGCTATATACGCGGATGAAAATATCAGTCCAACAGGTATTCAAACCTTGTGCTTCTTTGGCCTTCTCGACATAATACATACGGTCTCGCACGATCGTTTTATTTGACACAATTTTTTTGTGCCTTTTTCAGGATTGATTGAGGGGGTTTTATGAGAGATGTCGAATCTATACAGAGGGGATTTCAATTCCAAAATCGATTACGTGTTCAAGATCGTATTGATCGGCGATTCAGCAGTGGGGAAATCGCAGCTTTTGGCGCGATATGCAAGGAATGAATTTAGTATGGACTCAAAAGCCACTATTGGAGTTGAATTCCAGACACGAACACTTGAAATTGATCACAAAATTGTCAAGGCTCAGATTTGGGATACAGCTGGTCAAGAAAGGTAATTAATTTGATATTTGATTCGCAGTTTCTTTATGCATAGTTATGTTTCGATTTTGTTCAATTGAGACTCGTATTTTCTTCGTCTGGCCGATACATTGATGGTTTTACTTTGTTGTTATTTACTTAAAGTAGTTGATTAGATACTTATTGTGATGCATTTTGAGCGACTTCTAAGTTTAAAAAGTGATTGGCGACCGGGCCTGTACTTCAACAAGTCGTTTAATTAACAGAGAGACCAAGTGCATGTTGAATCGAGCTAAATTTAGTTGGAAACACAACACTGCAGAGTTTTCCTTTGTGATCGTGTGTATGGGATAGGATTATCAACAGGCTACATTTATATAACATATATAGACAGACTGCAGTTGGAATATAAGAAGGGAGAATCGAGCCTATGTTTTAGATCATTTTCATTTATGCAATCCATGATATAACCAAGCTAACTTTGTTGAAACAAAGTTATGTCCTTATGTTCCTTCACAATTTTTATTTTTATTTATTTTTTATTTTTTCCTTGGAGTTGTGGGGTTGGGGTTTGGAATTTCTCACTATTTTAAACTTTCTGTTAATATCTTTCGAGTTCCCACTAAATATACTGAGAGGTTGATAGTAGTTATTTGAAGATTAGCTGAAGAACTTCTAACATTCCCAAATTTTTGTCTGTTATCTTCACTTTTTGCTGCCAAGTTCAGCAACGAATCTCCATCTTTGCTGATACTAGTGTTTCATCTTATGTCTATTATGATGTCCTAATGCCACAATAAGTGCTAGTTGTACTTGTGCTATGTAGTTGGACAACAATCACAGTATCACTTAAAACATTTTCCCTACAGTTTATGATTATGCTGATAATGTTCAACTGGTTATTATAGCAATGAGGAACTTGATGTTTTGTCAAGGTTGTATGTGTCTGTATTATTCATTCAGGAACGAGGACTCGTAGAAGATGTTGCACAGAATTAGAGCGGATTGAAGGAGATAAAGAAGTAGAATGAGGATTTTATGTGATTGTAAGATGCTCGTGAAGGTAATGCAAGTTAATGAGAATGTTAAGATAGATGTGTAGGTATACTAGCAGTGAATAGGTCTGCAGTTTGTGAAGTATATGCAGTGGAGAATGAAACAGCATTTCTATATTGGTTTGGCAATTGCCTCCTCCAGTCCCATGGCCAGGATTTCTTGATTACATGTCAACAAGATGGATGAATTTACGGAAGATATTTTAGGGCAAAAGGAACTGTTCTGCCTCTCCTGTATCTGGGTTGCGCATTTGTTTGTGTTATGTTTTGTTGGTGTGAACTAACTACCCCTTTTATCACAGAAGAAGACAGTAAAGAGAAAAGCGTGTTTTCATATCATGTTTTTTCTTACAATACAAATCAGTGAAATCACTCATTATCTAACTACCAACTGAAACAGAAAGCCTACAACTGACTTAATCCCGACGTTCAACGTTCAACCCCCTTCAGCAAATTCAGATGATCAACTAGCTGCAACTGGTCTGCAGCCTCAACTCTTTTAGGAATACTCCGGAGCAATCTTCTCCACAAGCTTATTTCTTTGTTTTTTTTGCTCACTGAGTTCTTTCCTTCCTTTCCACACTGTTTTTCTCTTTCCTGCAATGGTATGTTTGCTTCATCATTTTGAAGGCGGTTAGTTCAATCATCTACAATTATAAGAGACTGGATTAATTAATTCGCATTGGCGTTCACCTAACTATTGATTTATTTCCAAAGATGAATTGTTGTCAATATTTTGGGACATTCTAAAATTAGAGGCATCAATTTTTATGACAAAAAGCAGAAAGGACTTCTTTTACAGAATATTCTATCATGTAAATGGGATTCACAATCTTTAAACATGCCTGTAAAACTCTTTTACATTATTTCATTAGCTGTTTGGCTGGTCCACGCAGTGGTCATCATATTACTTATCATTATGCAGATTTAGTTCTCTTTTCAGAAAGGGAAAAGAAAAGAAGAAAAATACGTGCATATATCTGTTCTATGTACATAATGTATATAAACGTATAAAAATAGACAAAATGGTGCACCTGCTTATTCTATTTCCTAGCTATATTTCTTTGGGAAGCCTTGGAAGAATTTTCTCAATTTTTTTAAATAACAAATTACAATATATATTAGAACCAGAATTTAGTTGAAAATTAGTTATGTTAAATTTACTGAACAGTTCTGCTACATTTAATTGGTTGATTGACCTTCACATATTATGAGAATATAAATGCATGGATGCAGGATATGAGAAACTTTAAATCTCTCTGTGCAGAATATTTGGTGGAAATGATGAGTGAGAAAAATCAACTAAGGTTTCCACTGTATAAGATAATTGACATTTATCTACTTGCATATAAGAGTATTAAAGAATCAATTTCGTATCCTGATTGTCTTCATGTGAGTTCAACTACAGACTTCATTTATTTCAAAGTTCATCTTATTCTTTTCATTTAATATGCATTTGGGATTTTTTTTTTGAAGGGCTTGGCATGATTATCAAATTGAGTATATGTGAAAGAATTACTGAGCCCTTGTTTGCTACGGATTCTTTAAATCTTATTTGACTGCCCATTCTCTATACCTTTTAACCCCACATTCCCCATAAAAGAGTGATCACTTTTCACAAAATATATTTTTAAAAAATCTACATCAAACAGGTGCTAAATATTGCTCTATTTGTGTCCATGAACTGCTCCTCAAACTCCTCAGGGAATGTGGTCCGAGGATTTTCTAGTTCATGTTTCATGTTTTTATTCAGACTTTGGTCTTTATGTCTCTTGATGGGAAAACTGATATCGTTTATTTATCAGTGCTGTTCATAAAAAGCTTTGTGTCATATGAATGAAACACGTCTCCTTCTGTGACAAGTTATTGACTGTATCGTACACTGATCGTACCGAAAGATTGAGCTCACTTGCATTTGAGCTTTGACTAACAATCTTGTATAGAAAAAGATAGTACAGTATAATCTGATTCATGTAAAAATGTTTATTTCTCAAAAATATTTTATCACATAACAGGATGTGGCTTTCCCAGTTAACAAGGTTGGTGGTGGCCACCTTCCTTCTTCAGTGCTGTCTATCCATCTTCCTGTCTCTAAAATTTAAGATAATTTAGAATCCATTAACATTATACATTAAGCTACTCTGCATTGGTGAGATTGTATAATCTAATGCGGATCAGACTTTGGAGCCTGAATTTATTATGGGGCCCTCTATGGAAAAATTCACTAATGCCTATCCTAGCCAAGATGCACAGCAAGCTGTGGGGCTAAACCTATAGCAACTGCAAGGCACAAATTAACATTTAAAGACTTCTGCCAAAATATTCTTTAAAAAAAATGATCGCATTCTAAAAGGGAGATGTTAATTATCGAAAATAGATGCACTAATTGACCTATGTCGAGACTCATATCATCAGTTTAGTAGAATCAGATCCTTAATTCTACCATTTTAATGCGAGTTAAACTTAAAATGCTAGTCTTAATGCGATCGTTAAACTTGAAATGCTAGTCTATGTCCTATATTGATAAAGGAGTGCCATTGTGCTGCTGTCCCATTTGTGGCTCCATCATATTGGTCAATTGTTTGTCAAGGCTCTACTTCAATTTTGTATTACTTCTGTATTGACATGGCAGAGGAGCTTGGAGCAACGGAGTGGCGGTTGAGGTGTCTTTGGTCCTTATATTTTCCACTTCAAAAGTTATCCTTCAACTTAAATGCTTATTATGTCTTGTGTTTTGTCAAACTTAGTTGTTATGGATATAGTTGAAAGCAAAGTGAGGTGCATGCTAGGATAATTTCACATGTCAAGCTGCTGAAGTTGTTGAAGTGAAATTTTTTGCAATTCTTCATGTCCTTTTTTTTTTAGAAGGTGATAAATTGCTGAAATGCACAATTTTTTTTTATCAAGAGATAACCCAGTTTCTCATTTTGCTCAACTTGGTGAAATTAACTAATATGTGCTGAAAATTAGGGCAATATCTGAATTTAGCTAGAAATATTGTGTTAACTAGTACTTCAGGTATAGTTTTATGTTTTGCTATGATGAAGTGTTTCCCTGGCTTGCGGCTACCAAACTTTTGTGCCTTTATTCACTAGGCACATTATAATTATGTGAACCTCAGTGTAGAGTAGTTTTCAATTCCCTTTGGCATGTCACAATGCCAACCTGATCTTAGTTTCTCTTTTGGCATGTGAAGTTCAATAAATTTGACACATTGGAGGAGGAACCAAATTAATATATGTCTCGTGCTCTTTCCTATTGAATTTTTCTTTTCCCGTCTTTCACTCTTTTTTAGTTGCAGTTGCAATATGCCTCCTTTATTGTGCGTGGAGAGAGTATTTTTTTACTAATGTTCAATAATAATTCCACTTGATATTGCAAATTTGGTGACTTCAGATATAGGGCAGTGACTAGTGCATATTACAGAGGTGCAATGGGGGCGATGCTGGTCTATGACATTACAAAGCGTCAATCATTTGATCACGTGGCTAGGTGGTTGGATGAGTTGCGAAGTCATGCTGACAAGAATATCGTTATCATGCTTATAGGCAACAAATCTGATCTGGGAACCCTTCGAGCTGTACCTGTGGAAGATGCTAAAGAGTTTGCCCAGATGGAGAACCTATTCTTTATGGAAACATCAGCCCTTGAGGCAACCAATGTGGAACCTGCTTTCCTAAATATCCTGACTGAGATTTATCGCGTTGTCAGCAAGAAAGCCCTTGTGGCCAATGAGGAAGCAGAATCTGGAGGAAATTCATCTCTTCTGAAAGGAACCAAGATCGTTGTTCCTGGCCAGGAGCCGGTACCAGCAGAAAGAAAGTCCAGCTGTTGTGGATATTCATAGGCCCAATCCTTTACTCTTGGAGTGTATACTGTTGTATTTGTGCTGTCTTCTGGCATATCTGACATACGAGATACATTTCTCTTTTTGTTACAATTAGGTTGTCCGTCCACAACATGGACATCTGGGCCGATTAAAACTTGAAAAGAAGTGATTTTGGTGATATATGTTGTGCGAAGTTATTTCGTTTTGGTGTGTAACATTCCCCGCCTCAATGACACGGAAAAATTTGAAACCAAAATATAAATATCAGGGAAAATTTTATAATTCTGATCTACATTAAGGTATTGTCACGTGACTTTATTATCTAATCACATCATCCTGTATCAATTTCAAAATCAACAGAATGTGATCGAGTAGTTAGCTCTGGTGCAAGTAAAAGCACTGGTTACATCGTCGAAAGGATAGCTATACGTGGTTTGGCAAGCTTGTTTGAAAATTTGAGAATAATTTGTAGGCTTGCATGTGTGGACTATTCAATTCTCCAGTGTAACAGTATTGGGTTGGGGTTGATTGAAAGCGAGGCAGGCACTTCTACACGCACTGTGGCCTTATTCCCTCTGGCCACTGCCAATTCTGGAGGGCATGCTCTATTCAAACCTGATACGCAGATTATATTGATCCGCTAGGCTGACATCGTAAAAATCTTGTGGGCTGTTGAGGGTGAACTCCGCTAGTGACACTGGTGGCGTATTACCAGCACCGTTGCACTGCACAATGCCACTACAGTCACTGGAAGTGCAGCTTCTCTTGCTGGATTGATCAAAAGTGCATCCATTACGAGCCCAGAAGCCCGACCACTATGCGGATGCATCGACAGTGGTGGTGTCGGCTGGTCCAGGCTGGAAGCCACCATTAATCAGTAGAGGTTTTCCATCTGATAAAGTAGCTGGCCATATAGTGTCTGGACATTTGTTTTGCAATTTGAAAACTGCAGCGTTTGCTCCTGGAAAAGATAAAAATCTTCAAACACTTAGTACATTAAAAGCAGAAGATTTCGATTCAGTACTATAAGCCCCCTGTTTTGTTTGGCTAAAAATCTGATTTTTAATAAATTTTGATAAAAGTTGATAAAATGTGATTAAAAAATTGATAAAAGTTCCCGTACTCTTAATAAATGTGATTGAAATTGAGTATGAGAATGAATGAGTTTTAGAAAAATGAAAGTCAAACGGAGTTAAATATCATTAAGAAATTCCAAACTAGGACAACAGAGAGGCGCCAGAATAATGCCATAACCAAATGTGAAGTAGATCAATTAATAATTTCAAAGAGGCGGAGGATCTATGTATGCATGTGTCTGAATTATGATTTTAATAAAATCCGATATTTTCTTTGATTTTTATAAAATAAGTGAACATTATAGGCAATCTTAACGAGATTTCACTAGTCGAGTCAATCTCAAGTATGAACCCGGGGCAATCACAGTAAATATCACAACTGGCCATATTTGGGAGGTGATTATATTCGAGATTTTAATTTTAATTTAATAGAAATGACTAATTAATAAGTAAGTAGTATCTGTAAGTATGAATATTTAAATGAACCAAATTTTACAAAAAAGTGTGTATAAATTAAACACCTAAACAAGCGCGAATCATGACAATATAATCAAGTACACACGAGTCTATTCCATTTCTAAAATGAATTCAATATTATTTAGTATTTGAGTATAAATATTTTATGGCGTGAATTTTGTTTTAGCATGAAAGAGTGAATCAAATTCATCATGGTATCATAGCCACGCTACTCGAAACTAAAATTGTCGTAAAATCATGAACTCAAAGTTTTACTCCCTTTTTTTTTTTGACTTTGTGGTCTCCAATCGAGTTAGGACTTGTATGTCTATTTCAAACTCTTGATTTGATCAAGTGTGCTATTTAGATGGCCAAATAAGATCTTAATAGCATGTTAGGCTAAGATTAAATGTAAAGTAAGTTTATTTTTTTAAGTGGATTTTTGTTTTCGAGTACATATGAATATATTGTTGGAAATTGTTGTTTTTTTTGGGCATAATTTTGAGTATGTCCTGTTTCTTCTCTTTGTAAGATAAAAGTAGATTTGTGTTCTCTTTCACAAGAATGTTGAAATCGTATATTTACATGCTCAAAATGGTGCTCGGTGAATGAAAAAGTGAAGCTCAATGTGCACCTATTGGAGTTGAAAACTATTGAAGGGAAAGTTAATGAAGCTTGTCCGACATTGGACGAAGGACAAGGCACACTTGTTTCTTTATATTGCCGCATTTTATGAAGGTATAAGCTTATGTAGCATAAATGCTCTCTAGCACAGGTACAAATCACAAACTGGATTAACACCTCGAGTCATTAGTGGGTGCAAATCAAGAGTGTCAAGCTGAAGCTTGGGCCCTTAGTAGGCCTACATTTTATGAAAGTATAAGTTTGTGTAGCATAAATGCTCTCTTGAACGGGTACAAATCACAAACTAGATTAACACCTCGAGTCATTAGTGGGTGCTAATCAAGAGTGTCGAGCCGAAGCTTGGGCCCTTAATAGGCCTACATTTTGCATATTGTCCCAATATTTCCAAGAGGAAATTACACCTACACCTGCTTTTAGATTTCCAATTTCACAAATAAGGTTTCAAATTTTAACATTTCAAAAATCAGGTTTTAATTAATATTTTTAAAAACATTTTTTATTTTTAATTTTATATCTATATAGAATAAAATCATTTTAACCAAACCCTAAAATCATTTCAACCCATCCTTTCCACTCTCATCACCCATCCTCTCCCCTCTCATCTCCCGCCGCCTCTCTCCGACCGCCGCCTCTCCCACTCCCTCCCCCTTCCCCTCATTCTTCTCTCTTCTTCAGTCTCCCCCCTTTCCCCGTTTTTTGCCGCTGCGATTCAGCAGCGACGACGCTGCTGAATCGCGGCAGCGAAGACGCTGCCATGCTGCTGAACGGCAGCGTCGTCGCTGCCTTCATCTGCAGTCGCCGTCTCTGGCCTTCATCTGCAGTGCAGTCGCCGTCTCCTCTCCTCCCTCTCCGGTGACCACGGCGGTTTGTTTCTTTCTTTCTACGCAGATCTGCTGTGTCCATTTTTTTTTTTCGAGTTTGATTTTATGGATGGTAGTGGTGGTTGTATGGCTGATTTTGTCGATGGTTGCAGCTCGGTGGTGGTTTCTGCAGAATGGTGTTGTTGGGCGTGTGTGCGTGGGTACGGCAGTGTTGGATCGGGCGATGGTGGCTGTTGTGTGTGCGTGGCCGTAAATGGTGCGGGTGCCGTGGTGTTGGCGGTGTTGGATCGGATTTTGATCCGTTGTTTTTGTGGTTTTTGTGCACAGATGCAGCGGCGGTGGTGGTGTTTTTGTGTGGGTGGATGCGACGGCGGTGGTGGTGTTTTTGTGTGGGTGGATGCGACGGTGGTGGTAGTGGTGTTTTGTGTGGGTGTTGGTTGTTGCGACGGTGGTGTTGGTGATGGGTGCCGTGAGGTGGTGGCGGTTTTTGTGGCGGGGGCGGCGACGGCGACGTAGTGGTTATGGTGCGGCGACGGTGGTGCCGTTGGCGGATGCAGTGGCGAAGTGGTCACAACCGATTTCGGTGGTGGTCACAAATTATTTGGTTGTCTGTGACCAGCAATTTGGTTAGTTTGTGACCAGTAAACAAAATGTGACCAATCAATTAGATGAATTGTGACCATTAAATTGGTTGGTGTGTGACCAATAAAGAATGAATTGTGACCGATAAATACTTTGTGACCCACAAATTTATTAATTTGTGACCAATAAAAGTTATTTGTGACCTATAATTCGTTGTTTGTGACTATAAAATAAGATGTGTGACTTAAAAATTTTACGATTTGTGACCGATGAAACAATTGTGACTTTTAAATTTTTAATTTGTGACCGATGAATGAATTGTGACATATCAAAATTTTGAATTGTGACCTTAAAATTTTGAATTGTGACCAAATTGTATAAATTTGTGACCGTTATATATTTATTAATAAAACATATAATTAATTAAGTAATTAATAAATAAATTTAAATAAAAACCTGATTTTTGAAATTTAAAACATCTGACCTTAATTTTGAAATGTGTATAAGTAAAACCAGGATTTATGTAAACTTCCCTATTTCCAACCCTTCTAGGTGTTTATGGAGGAAATTAGCTCGCTCATCACGAAACCTATCCCAGAAACCTTGTCTAGATCCATTTCTTTCAGTTTAATGCCCAGATGAAAACCGTACGCTCTTTCTTTCTCCTTCCTTAGAGTTCTTAGTGTCCTTGTTCGAAATTTTTCGTATTATTGATGATAACGTTCAATTTTCCAGTGTAGAAGCTTGGTACTAAGACCACTAGAATGCAGATACTCAATAAACCTCAAGAACCTATAGGGAAAGGACAAATCTATTTTAAGAATAATATGTATTACAAATGCCTCAGTTTGCAATTCTCTCTTTATAATTTCTTTTTTTGTTCATTTATTTGCTTACCAAATATATACATATATTTTATCATATATATATATATATATATATGATAAAATAGTTAATTAATTTGATATTGAGAAAGATATTACTTATTTTAGAACTTATGTAACTATTTCATAATTTAACTTATGCATAATTTTTTAAGCGTAGTGAAAAGATGCATGCCTATGCCAGACTCAAAATTTTACCCTTAAAATTATAGCAATCCAAAGATTTCTCTAGGGCTGGACAAAACTCTCGAATCGAACCGAATCGGATCGAACCGAATCGAGCTATTTTTTTAAAGTTAAATACCCGAAAGAGTATCTAAATCGAGAACCGACGGGTTCGGTTCGATTCTCGATTCTAGACCAAGAACCGAAGAACCGAATTTCCCTAATTTTTAAAATTTTTTATTTTAAATAAATCAAATTATTTTATTTTTTAAAGAAACTGCTAACTAATTAATTTAATATAAACCCAAAATATGATTTTACTATTTCTAATTTTCAGCCAAGCTCAATTTAATCAAATTGACCTAAATTTTACCCAAATCTCTTATTATACCGTAGTGTCATTTCTACCGTTCTATTATTGTGAACCAACCATCTACCTCTTTCTATGATTTTAACAGTCAAATATAACTCAACAAAGAGAGGTGTAAAAAATATCACGAGATTGGACTACGTTAATTTGTAAGAGTTGAGATTGAATATATCATAGTCGAATTAATGTAACGTTGTTGTAATATTAAAAAAATTAATTATTGTACGGAATTCCAAAATGGAACAGAACTCGAACGGTTCCATAACTAAATTTAGACCCGACGGTTCTATTTACTAAATACCCAAAAATTTCGAGTTTGGTTCGGTTCTTTTTAAAACCGAACCGAATCGGCCCCTAGATTTCTCTCAGACACCGTTTGGAAGTAAACGATGGTAAAGTTTTACTCTAAAATGCCATTTTTTTTATTTTTTTATATTGTAAGATTTTAAATCAGTATGATAGTTAAAATTATGAAGTTATAATTAATTATAGTGAATAATTTGAGGAAATAAAGTGAATTCTTTATTTAAAAGGGGCAACCATATGCAAATCTAATAACTCAGCTGTGAAAAAAAAATGAAAGCAACTTTTGTATGGGCATTCAAAATTTTAGGGTATTTCTTTTTTAGGTCTGCTATTCAAACATTTTATGTATGGGTTGTTAGTTTATTTAGTTGATAGATCATTGAATAAAATATTTCAAATTTTCGGTGTTCTAAAAGAATCAAAGAATTTTTTTGATATGCATTTCAATTTTTCTTTTTCCTACCTGCAGATCCTTGTCACGGTACGGTCAAGAAAACGGACTGTCGATTATGTTGCTGTGGACGAAGTAATATGGAGTTATTAGATGGTACAATGATTTAAGTACACATTTACATAATAAAATATTTTGTTAGTTTTTAATTTTAATCACACATTTTTCAAAAAATCATTATTTAAAACTCTATTTTTTCAAAATAATGGCCATCAAACGGAGGCATAAAATGCTGGCCATAGACTAGCAACTCACAGGCGGTTCGTGGAGGAATAAGACTATAGAGTTTCTTGATAGAATTTGTATGGTTGACGAGCAACTTGAATTCAAAGAGTTGCATGACAATAAACAAATCTAGTTAATTGCTATACGATTTAGGGGACTAACTTGCTGACAACATATTAAAGTAATCGAGTTTGAGTTGGTAAGACCCGAATCTGTTCTTGGCATTCTTGTTTTAACTACAAACGAACCTTGTATTAACGGATATCTCATTATACTGTCAGGTGGAGGGTGAAATTCAGGACATTAAATTTTACTCATGCCGGATTCGGTATCGGAGGCACATCAAAGGGCTATACAACTTCAAAAAACAGTTTTCGCAGTGTGTCGAAGTAGGCGCCATTGCTGGAACTGAGGGTGGTAGTTGTGACGTCCCATGACTCAACTCTCCAGTGTCTACTGCTTCAGTTAATGTCCATCTAGTGTCACATCTAGAGGTCAAGCAAATTAACTGACAGATGCAAAAAACTCTTGTTTGGCATCTAAGGCATTGGCCCATGATTGAAGAACATTATAGGGCTAAGTTGTTTCACACGTCATTTGATCCTTTAACCCGGCTGAAGTGGAGGAATCGCCATTTAGAGGTGTAACACTTTTCAAGCATTTCTCAATGTCCAGAGAACGAATCGTGACCCTTATATCTGATTTAGATCAATGGACTAGGGTCCTCATATATAAGGAGGAAACCTAGCTTAGCCATTCACTAAATTTTTTATCTGTCCTTGTTTTCTCACTGTCTGAGTCTTCTTTCTTCTCTTTCAGCTGCGATATTTCCTTTGTGAAATTCCGTGTTTTCTTTTATTCTTTGTGAATGAGTCTCTTTGCGGTTTCATGGTTATGTTTCTTCTTCTTGAGAAGGAAACAAGGCAACCGAATAATGTGTAGAATGTGGGTGAAACTGAGCCCAAAACTTCTCGTGTTCCTAAAATTGACGTTAAAACTCACTTGTGTACTGATTTAAGCATGTTCAGTTTCATCTTTTTTGGTTGAAAACCAATTTTTATGGGTTAATTTGTAACATGAGAGATATAGATAAAGCACCATTTTTGGACAATTACGCTATCCAATTGAAAGATGTTACTGCACTAATAGAATGTTTGATAACGTGAATTAAATAGTATTAAAGAGATGAAAATGCAGAAAGTTCTTTATGGTACGTTACGTACGTACTGTTCTAACATACTTACATACCAAACATTTCTTTAAACTTGTACAGGAGGCAGTAAATTGAAGAGCTTGAGGGCACATCTTATGGTACGCGTATATTTCTTATCTAATAAACGTTCTTTCACCATATAACATAATTGTGTTTTACATAATGATGATGTGTCAAAATGTTAGTGGAGAAGTTATTTGATTGATGAAATTTTCATCAAATTAAATCTTCTCATGTCATCTATTGGTAAACCATTATGTAAATTATTATGTGCATATACCACAACCCGTTTTGTTTTCATGTTTGCTCCAAAAGTAATGGCCAAGAACCTTTGTGATTTCACTACTATTAAAGGTAAACATCACATTGATCAATAACCAACATGTTAAGATTTGGATTATTCTCTTAATAAGATTATTTTTTAGGATCCAATATGGTATTAGAGTTCATGAAACTCGAACAATGAGCAAATCGATCAGTTTAAAATTCAAAGCAGCGCAACTGAATTCTAAAATGAGTTACCCATCTTAACAAGCTTGACATTTTTAAGATAGAACCGAAATCTTAGTAGTTAACTTGAAATTAACACTTTCATTTAATCTCTGTTTGGTACAGATTTTTTAGGACTCGTTTAATTCATTTACAAAAACACTTTCTTACAATAAAATAATTTTTCACATGAATTTATAAATTGTCCCTACTTTTTAACCACAGTCCAAAAATTCATCTTAAAAGATCAATTTTGATAAGAGGAATAAGTCGTACCCTTATAATTTGGTCTATGTTTCCACTTTTATTCGACGTGGGATTTTATCCCTTTGACAATTACAACATTCCTTAACATTTATAAATTGTCCCTACTTTTTAACCACAGTCCAAAAATTTATCTTAAAAGATCAATTTTGATAAGAGGAATAAGTCGTACCCTTATAATTTGGTCTATGTTTTCACTTTTATTCGACGTGGAATTTTATCCCTTTGACAATTACAACATTCCTTAACAAAAACTGAAATATTATTCAATTATTTAGTACACGTTTCTGTGAAAACATAATTTCAACAGAATGTGATCAAGTAATTAGCTCCAGTGCATGTAAAAGTACTGGTTCTATCATCATATGGATAGCTGTATGATGTTGGGCAAGCTTTTTTGAATACTTGTGAATAATTTGAAGGCTTGCATACCTGTGGATTATTGTATTCTCCAGTGCAACAATATTGTGGTTCGTTGAAGGCAAGACAGGCACTTTTACATGCCACCGTCGCGCCATTCCCTCCGGTCACCACCAAATCTTGAGGGCATTCCTTGTTCAAATCCGACAGGCATTTTACTTCACTACAATTTCCTGATCCCCCCGAAGGGATGATGGAAATTGGCATGTTATATCCATCGACAAGGCTGACGTCGTAAAAATCTTGTGGGCTGTCGAGTGTGAACTCGGCTAGTGACACTGGTGGCGTACCACCAGCACCATTGCATTGTAAAACGTTGCCACAGTCACCGGTGATGCAGTTTCCCTTGCCGGATTGGTCGAATGTGCATCCACTACGTGCCCAGAAGCGGCCTGACCACCCCTTAGGTGCGTCGATGGTGGTGGATTCGGCCGGTCCGAGCTGGAAGCCGCCATTATTTAGTAGAGGTTTTCCACTTCCCGATAAAGTCCCCGGCCATATAGTGTCTTGACAATTGTTTTGAAATGTGAAAACTGCGGCATTTGTTCCTGAAAAAGATAGACATCATGCAACGTTGATAATATAAAACAAATAGAAGATTAATTCTATTTTATCCTAAGAAAGATAATAAGTTCAATAAAATGAAAAACAAACCTAAGAATGTCCAAACTAGGACGAAGGAAATTAGATGCCATAATAATTCCATGATTAATTCTTAATCAAATGTGAAGTAGAATGAACTATTTCAGAGAGGTGGAGGATCTTATATATGTGTGGTTAATAGGATTACAATTTTTATTTTTTATATTTTTTGGTTGCTTTTACAGAAGCGTGGCATTTTCAATTGTGTGGACTCTATTATTTGATGGATTAATCTATGTCCATAGAGGGCCATGCTATGTGATGTAGACATAGGACTTGACATAATGTGAGTGGGGTGGGGCCCACATTATGTGAACCCCTATTTTCGATTAATGGAATCTTGCAGGACTTTAGTACTTTTTTTTTTTTTTTAACCTCGAAACCTTAAAAAATTTTGAGTTGAAATTGAACGATTGGCACCAGAATCCACTATGTCCATGTGGATTGCCACATATGCAGCCATCTCAACAAGTTCGGGTGAATCGGTTTTTAATAAAGCCACCAGATAGTTGAATTAGGAGACGACTGCCACCAATTTATTAGTAACAATGAAATAAAATTACGGACTATGAAGGGTAGAACCTGTACAAGTTATTACTAAGAGGACTTAATTAGTCATGTTTCATTGTTCAGGGACTTCATTGTTATAAGTTTATTTTTACTTAGTTACCTTCTTTCTTTCTTCTATAAATTCGAACTAGATCTGTAGTTCTTCTTTAAGCTTGTATAATAAAATTAGAGTTGATTTCTCTACTTGAACATGGTATCAGAGCAGTAGATTCTGGGATTCCAGAACTACAAGCGATGAATCCATTAAAGGAGAAGAAGGATTACCTCAACATTAAGCTGCCATGGCTGGGAATCGAAATATTGAGTTCCTTCCTATAGATACGAGGGAGGAACAGATGAATCAGAGAAATGGAAGGCAGATTGAGATAAATAACTCAGATCCGCTATTCCTCCATAGCTCAGATCATCGAGGAATGACATTGGTTACTATTCCTCTAACTGGTAAGAATTTTTTGGCATGGAGCAGATCTGTGAAAATTGCTCTTGGAGCTAAGATGAAATTAGGGCTTATTGATGGTAGTGTGGAAGTACCTGAAAAAAAATCACCGACTTATGATAAATGGCTGAGAGTTAATTACATGATCACTTCGTGGCTGCTGAATTCTATTTCAAAGGAAATTGTTGAAGCTTTTCTATACATCAGTACTACCAGGGAATTATGGATGGAGATTGAGGAAAGATTTGGAACCTGCAATGGTCCTATGCTGTATCAGATACAGCGAGAAATCAGTTCTATTTCACAAGGTAGTATGTCTGTTTCAGAATACTACACGAGATTGAAGAGACTGTGGGATGAGCTAACCTTCCTAATGCCTATACCTGAATGCACTTGTGGATAAGCAAAATCAGTATCAGAGATGACTTCATTCAATAGACTTATGCAATTTCTCATGGGATTGAATGACGATTATGAGCATACACGAAGCCAGATCTTGGTTATGGACCCTTTACCAACAGTCAATAAGGCTTACTCCATGATCCAGAGGGTGGAAAAACAGAGAGAAGTTCAGACATCTTATGGGGAACATACTGAAGTGAGTGCTATGAATGTTAAAACTCAGGGATATAGACGATTTGGAGGAGGCAGAGGATTCGGTAGAAGAATTGATCTGAGTAAAGAGGAAAAGAGAAACCAAATATGCACACATTGTAACACTACAGGGCATAGCAGATAGTTCTGTTTTAAGCTGATTGGATATCCAGACTGGTTTAAGCAATTGAGTGAACAAAAGAAGAAAGCTGGAGGAAGGTTCACTGCACATATGGCAGACACACCGCTGGAAATGGGGAATGAAACAAGTTCTGGAGGAATTGCAGATTTGTGCAGTAATAAAAACCTTTCAGGAATCATTCAACATGAACTGAAGAAGATGATGAATGGAAAGGGAGCTAATACTATCAACTTTGCTTATATAGATGATTTTACAGGTTCAACTCTTAAACTTGATTTTAATTATGCGCTAAGTGCTTCCAATGATATAGGATCTAAGTCTTGGCTTGTAGATACTTGAGCCTCTAACCACATTTGGAAAGGGAGCTAATACTATCAATTTTGCTCATATTGATGATTTTACAGGTTCAACTCTTAAACTTGATTTTAATTCTGCTCTAAGTGCTTCCAATTTTATAGGGTCTAAGTCATGGATTGTAGATATTGGAGCTTCTAACCATATGTGCAATGACATTTCATTGCTGAAAACTCCTTTACTTGCTGAAAAAAATATTCCCGTTTTTCTACCTGATGGCACTGTGAATTTTGTTAAGCACTTTGGAAACGTTCATTTAGATGACAACCTCATTCTCACAGATACTCTTCACATTCCTACCTTCAAATTCAATCTCCTGTTTGTTAGCAAGTTAACAAAAGCCTTAAAACTGAAATTCATTTTCATGGAAGATCATTGCATTTTGCAGGACCTCATGATTGAAAAGATATTGGCCGTAGGAAGGTTGATAAAGAACCTATACACACTTGACAAGACTTCTTTCTATGCATCTACTATAAAGTCCTACATTTCTATTTCCTGTAATATTTCTTCTTCAGTCACTTCTTTTTCTGTTGATGGCAATAAAACCAAAGATGAGTCTGTCACTCTTTGGCATAGGAGGTTAGGACATGCTTCTGGAAATGTAATGCAACACTTGAAAGTAATGGATCCTTTTGATAAAGAAATTCTTTCACCATGTGACATTTGTTCCTTTTCAAAACAACATAGATTATCCTTTCCCAGTTGTGATATAAAAAAGTCTGACATTTTTGAAATATTACACGTGAATTTATGGGGACCATATAAGTACACATCTATTAGTGGAGCACATTATTTTTTGACAGTGGTAGATGATTTTAGTAGGTGCACTTGGACGTTCTTAATGAGACATAAAACACAAGTTCTTAACACCTTGAAAATTTTTCATAAAATGGTTAAAACGCAATTTAACAAGAATATAAAATGTTTGAGAACTGATAATGGGACCGAGTTTACAAATTTTGAATTGCAAAGGTACTTAGGTGAAAATGGTATTCATCATCAAAAAAGTTGTCCATACACACCTCAACAAAATGGAATTGTTGAGAGGAAACATGAACATCTCTTGCAAATAGCAAGAGCACTTATGTTTTAATCCAATTTGCCAAATTTTTTTTTGGAGAGAATCAATTTTGATGGCAACACACATTATCAATAAACTGCCTACTGTCATATTGAATTGGAAAACCCCTTTTGAGATTTTGCACAAAACTATTCGCACATATAAAAATCTGAGAGTCTTTGGTTGTCTGTGTTTTGCAACTAACACAAAACCTTTCAAGGAAAAATTTGCACCAAGGATCTTTAAATGCATTTTACTGGGATATAGCATGGGACAAAAGGGTTTTAAGGTATATGATTTAATCAATAAACAAGTGTTTGTGTCTAGGGATGTTATTTTTCACGAGCATGTCTTTCCTTACAAAGATGTTCATAACTCCCATTCTTCTATACCATTACCTATACCTGATATGGTTTTTGAGGATGATACTTCAGTCAATCTCCACCTTGAGAATCAGAATTCCAATACTGAAACCCCAGATGTTATTCAACCTGCTTATGGTAACTCTCCTGTTATCAACCAACCCACTGCCACTTATCATTTCAGTCAGGAAAAGGCCAGTCACTTAGATGACTCCATGAATTCTTCAAACCATTGTCTTCCTAGTCAGAACTCCTTTCAAACCAGGAAAAGCGCTAGACCTAAATCTACACCTACATGGATGAAAGATTTTGTCAGTAATCTGTCATGCACATCTCCTATTTCCACTTCTAACATTTCATCCAATACATCAAAGTCTTCTTCCCATACACTAAACACTTATCCTTTTTACAAGTCTCCATTTTTTGAATCACGCTACATTCATTTTCTGGCCAACTTATCTACTATTCAATAACCCAAATCCTATAAAGAGGCTAGCACTAAGACTGAATGGATTCAAGATATGGAGGATGAGCTTGCAGCTCTGGGGCAGAATCAGACCTGGGAAGTTGTTCCTCTACCTCCAGGTAAAAATCCCATTGGATCCAAATGGGTTTATAAGGCAAAACTGAAGCCAGATGGATGCCTGGACAGATGCAAAGCTAGATTGGTCGCTAAAGGGTATAATCAGGTAGCTGGTATCAACTATGTTGATAGCTTCTCCCCTGTAGCAAAATCAGTGACAATCAGAATTTTTTTTGATATTTCTTCTGCCAAGGACTGGCTAGTATATCAGCTAGATATCAACAATGCCTTCTTGCACGGTTTTGTAGAGGAAGACATTTACCTATTGCCTCCAGAAAGTTACAAAAATATCAAGGAAGGAGAGGTTTGTAAATTGAAGAGATCTCTTTATGGTTTAAAGCAGGCTAGCCGACAATGGAACTCAGAATTTTGCAAGCATTTGCAACTATATGGCTTCTCACAATCTGCCCATGATAACTGTCTTTTTATCCTTCATACTGAGCATGATCTCACTGTTCTTCTTGTCTATGTCGATGATGTGCTTATTACTGGCACTAATGATCAGGAAATACAGAGGGTCAAGCAATTTCTGGATACTACTTTCACCATAAAAGATCTAGGACTTGCTAAATATTTTTTGGGAATAGAAATTGCCAGATGTTCAGACGGGTTGTACCTTAATCAACGGAAATATGCTATGAATATTGTCACTGATGCAGGCCTGATGGGTTCAAAACCTATGGCTATACCACTACCTAAGGGTTATAAATTTGCTGCAGATGGTCTCTTCCATCCTCACCCTGATCAATATCGGAGGCTTGTGGGAAGATTGCTTTACCTTAATCTTACCAGACCAGACATCTCTTATGTAGTTCAGCAACTGAGTCAGTTTGTTAATTGACCAACTGTGGCTCACTCGAAATCTGCACTTCATTTACTAAAATACATCAAAGGTACTATGTCTACAGGCCTGTTTTTCGCTTCTTCTAGCAGTTTCAACCTTACAGCTTACTGTGATGC